AAGTTGTAATATCGGTATCGTATCGGAAGTGAAAAAGTGGTATCGGGACATCCCTAGCAATGATGAATTTATTTTTTTTTTGCTCAATTCAACAAATGCTCTATAAACTCAGCTAGTGGTTTTTGTATAACTGTTATAAAAAAAACATAAAATTTGTCCAACTAAAGGAAAAAACACAAGTTACTGTTTATTATGATGTGCAAAAATCATACAAAATACTATTCTGTGGGATAACAAATTGCACAAGGTATTTGTTTAAAATTTTGCCAATAAGTATTTGGGGTAAACTACAGGGGTTGGACAATGAAACTGAAACACCTGTCATATTAGTGTGGGAGGTTTCATGGCTAAATTGGACCAGCCTGGTGGTCAATCTTCATTAATTGCACATTGCACCAGTAAGAGCAGAGTGTGAAGGTTCAATTAGCAGGGTAAGAGCACAGTTTGGATCAAAACATTACAATGCATACAACATTATGGGTGATATACCAGAGTTCAAAAGAAGACAAATTGTTGGTGCACGTCTTGCTGGAGYATCTGTGACCAAGACAGCAAGTCTTTGTAATGTATCAAGAGCCAAAGTATCCAGGGTAATGTCAGCATACCACCAAGAAGGATCAACCACATCCAACAGGATTAACTGTGGACGCAACAGGAAGCTGTCTGAAAGGGATGTTCAGGTGCTAACCTGGATTGTATCCAAAAAACATAAAATCACGGCAGCATTAAATGAGCACCTCAACTCTCATGTTTCCACCAGAACTAGCCATCAGGAWATCCACAGGGTCAACATACACGGCCGGGCTGCTATAGCCAAACCTTTGGTCACTCATGCCAAACGTCAGTTTCAATGGTGCAAGGAGCACAAATCTTGGGCTGTGGACAATGTGAAACGTATTGTTCTCTGATGAGTCCACCTTTACTGTTTTCCCCACATCCAGGAGAGGTACAGTGTGGAAAAGCCACAAAGAACCACTCAGACTGTTGCATGTCCAGAGTGAAGCATGGGAGTGGATCAGTGATGGTTCGGGCTGCCATATCATGGCATTCCCTTGGCCCAATACTTGTGCTAGATGGGCGTGTCACTACCAAGGACTACCGAACCATTCTGGAGGACCATGTKCATCCAATGGTTCWAACATTGTATCCTGAAGACGGTCAGTGTATCAGGATGACAATGCACCAATACACATAGTAAGACTGGTGAAAGATTGGTTTGATGAACATAAAAGTGAAGCTGAACATCTCCCATGGCCTGCACAGTCACCAGATCTAAAGATTATTGAGACACTTTGGGCATTTTGGAGGAGCGAGTCAGGAAACATTTTCCTCCACCAGCATCACGTAGTGACCTGGCCACTATCCTGCAAGAAGAATGGCTTCWCATCCCTCTGACCACTGAGCAGGACTTGTCATTCCCAAGACTAACTGATGGTGTATTGGAGGCCCTACATCATACTAATAAATGATTGTGGTCTAAAACCCGGTGTTTCAGTTTCATTGTCCAACCCCTGTACAGCGGGTAAAATAAGTATTGAACACGTCACCATTTTTCTCAGTAAATATATTACTAGAGGTGCTAATGACATGAAATTTTCACCAGATGTCAATAACAACCCAAGTGATCCATACATACAAAGAAATCAAACCATAAATGTCCAGAAATGAAGTTATTTGTAATAATGTGGAATGGCACAGGGAAAAAGTTTTGAACACACTTACTGAAATTTATCTAATACTTTGTACAAAAGCCTTTGTTGGCAATGACTGCTTCAAGAAACTAGTGGCATGCATTGCTCAGGTGTGATTTTGGCCCAGTCTTTCTCTCAAACAGTCTTCAAATCTTGAAGGTTTCGTGGACC